CACCACCACCACTACCACCGCCACCCTAAACCCGAAACCGACGGCATAGTATCGATTGCCAAATATTCAGTCTCGCACAAAATGCTGAGGAAGAAACATATTCTCCGAGCTGGCCATGGCAGCTGTGCAGGACCCTCCCTGTTTTGAATTCACCTTCCGTACGTCCATATGGGGGTTTCCAAAACGTCAAGGGTCCCCCTTAATGGGGATGCAGGGGTTCCATACTGAAATGGGGGAATGCAAGCTTTGCATTAAGGCTTTTATGTTATCCAAAAATCCGCGATCCCGTTCTTCATAATAAATATCATAACATACGGGGGAGCTTACAATGGGGTCCCCCTACTTGATGCAACTACTCACGGCTGTGTCTCCTCAGGTGAACAAGCGATACGCATGACCGGCCAGTTGAGCTTGCGAGGCGGCAGCTGGGACAGGCGTTCCTCTAAGCTCGGAAGTGTTGTGCACAGCAGGCATGCGGGCTGTGTTTGCCTGGCAGCAATGAGATCCCGTGCTCCAATTTTCTGGCCGCAAGTCAGTTTGACACTGGCATCCTGGCAGTAGTTCTCCGTTTCTGTGCAAGGGTTCTCTTGTCGGGAGCATGCGCTCCGCAACTTCGTTCAAAAACAGTGCATGTACAAACAGCTTGGCCACATGACCAACATGCGAAGACACATCCAGTCCTTGCAATAGCCGTGCGTGCAGAATCGAAACCATGCTGTGAACGACAGCTCTGTCTGACAGTTGCATGCTTTTTCTTGTCCGATGTCTTTGAGAAGTTTAGCCATGACTGCCACAGATGCGGGGGCTGGCCGTTCCCATGCGCAAGCGGAAATTGCAGACATACATACATCCGCCTCCAGCAGAACATGTCGAATCTCGACCACACCGCATTGCGCTCGTCAAGACATGCTCTGCAGGTGGCCCGGAAGACTGTCCATCTCGTCCTTCATGTCCGGCGTTGCCCCAAGGCAAAAGCTCTCAACCCGCTCAAAGTGCTGGACTATAGATACCACGACACGATTCCATTTGCCATGCAAACGGCAAACTTCGAGACAGAACTGGCTGTTGACATCTTGCACTGGTGCTGGCGACGCTCCGTCTGTCAGTGTCACGGTATGTCCCATGCCCTGCACTACAGCTTTAGCCGCCAAGCTTTCGAAGTAGTCAAGCGTGGCAGTATGCCTTCCTAGCATATCAGGACTGAAAAACTGCAAACACATGTTTCCAACTGATATTGCACTGCCTCACACCTCCGCCTTGGTTGTGAGCTAGACAGCAGCACTGCTCCGCCTCTTTGAGGATAAGCCTCAACCCAGGAAGACACCCTTTGGCCAAAGCTTTCAATCAGAGGGTGACAGGGTGCTGTCATCGGCGAGGCCCGTACACAATCCGAATCAGAGCACTCACACGCATAAGATTTCCAGCAGAAATCTGGTGACTGATTTCGCGTAACCGCAGATAATGTCTTTCTCGGAATCAGCTTGCCCGCAATAACACCACACCATGAACACCACACCATGAAATCGAGGTGTTCTTGATGCGCGTCGGATCTCCAGAAGTCTTCCTTCCGTATCTTTGAAGACGAAGGGATATGCGTGAAACCGCCTTGGCGCAAGGCAGGAACTCCCATGCACCACGCCTCTCGCTGGCCTCCGTTTCAGCTGACCCTGCCTCATGCTGCCTCATCAAGCGGATGGCAAATGCCAAGGTCAAAGTTGCAACTTCAGCAAAGCGAGATGTGGAACCAAGCTGGAAACTTTCGGCTTTGAGTACTGGCAAGGGATCGCTGGACTGCAGCTCCGACAGCGCAAGGCGTCGTCGTTGCTTCTGCACCAAAGCTGCCAAAAGCTGCTAAAAGATTTGGCATGTTCCATGGGCCAGGACACGCCGGTCTGACATCTCTGAGACCGTCGTTCAGCGGAGACACAATCTTCATATCATCATGCGCCTTGCACCACGCAAGCAGCAAAGCCCAATGGACTGACACTTCTGGACAGGGTGTTCAGTCAGACAGCATCACTCCTGCAGCTTGGTACAGGTCTGCGCATGGACTACCTCTTCCTCCCAGGTGATCCAGAGCTGAAAACAGCCTCCGACGCATACTGGTCTCCAGTTCAGCACACAGGCGATACTTCGTCTGTCCTGATGCATCGCCAACCGCAAGCCCCATGCTCACCTTCACTTCGCCATGAAGCGGGTGTCACGCTATGGAAACAGTTGTGGCATGAAATGCCAACCCTCCGCTCGCAGCCATGAAGAACAATAACTGAACATCTGGGCATCTCAGACTTGAGCTGGAATGGTAGACGCACAGTGTTGGCAGTCTGCGCAATCCGACCGAGATGCTGGAAGCCGGGCACCAACTGTTCATGCAAAAGTTCGTATACAACCATCCGCTTGCATCTTTTGATCGAGAAGCAATGTGAAACTTCTTCTGCCAGGGTGCGGAGGGTCTCAGCTTTGTCCGACTCACTCCTAGCTGCACCAGCTCTTCGCAGCTGAGCAGCTCCACATTTCTGGGGTTACCTGGAGTTACCCCAATATACTCCCTAGGGGCATATTACCCCAATAATATCAAATGGAAAAGCAAATGAAATGGACACTGGGGTTGTATAGGGGTTAGTTAGCTATATGGTAGTTTCCCAAAATAAGGGGACCCCAATATAGACCCCAAAATACTATAGTCCTTAATATAGGGAGCCCCAAAAAGGTACCCCTAATTTTGGGAAACCCCCATATGGTAGCTTCCATAAAAAAAGGTGCGCTGGGCCACTTTGAGCCTGTCAGGAAACTGCCTTCGTCTGGAAGTGCGTGGCAGGACTAGTCGCGCCTGCACCACCGACTTTCTGATGGTTAGTAGGGAATCAGGGAACACAGTCTTCTAGGATTTCAGTAGATGGGGATTCTGTTCCCTTTTTCCCTACTTGCTACCAGCAAAATGATTTTAGCACAGCTGAGGCGGGCACGTAACATCCCCTCCCTCTACCCCTCAAACCCTAAAACCCTAAAACCCCAAACCCTAAAGACCCTAAACCCTTCTGCAGGAGCGCACTTGTCCCGGTCGTAGCGCGGAGAGTTGCGGGGCGTATTGCTCCGCGGGGTCCCGCCCGGAAGGCTCGAGGAGTTCAGCTCCGAAACCTTTCCATGCACAACGCACCAGTGTTTGAGGCTAAGGTTTCGGTTGTTTCTGGTTTGAGGGTTTTAGGTCTTTAGGGTTTAAATTAAGGTTTAGGTTTAGGGGTTTCTGGTTTTAGTGTTTAGGGGTTCAGGTTTTTTGGGGGGTCAGGGGTTGGGGTTTTGCGGGTGTGGTGTTTTAGGGCGTAGCGTGCCTCGAAGAACTCGCCCCGTGAAAGGAAGAGTCGATTTAGCCACCAGGCCGTGCCGATCCTCAGCTCACAAGCCAAAACTCTTCTGGTTTTTGGGTTTTAGGGTTAGTCTAGGGTTGATTTAGGGTTTATCGCTTAGGCTTGGGGTTTAGGATTCAAGGTTTAGGATGAAGGGTTTAGGGTTCAGGCTTTAGACTCCGAGTTGAGGGTTTAGGGTGTTCAGCCTTAATTCTCTTGAGATAACCTTAACTGACGGGGGCAACCTAGCGGGGAGAGGGGGATAGTACAAGGGGGAGCCCTAGATGAGCTCTAGTCGAAACCCCGAGTATCCCCCGTCGTAAGCCCTATAATCCTCCCTTATATGATTCTCTGTATAACCCCCTTGCAGGAGTTTAGACTATAGTAGAGATGAAGTGATGAGCCCAGCGTCTGCATCAAAATCAAGCAGCTGGTGAGTATGGGCGGCCGCCAGTACGGGGCAATGAATGAGACCACCAGTACCAGAAAAGGTGGCCCGATGAAGTAGACAGTGCCTCAGCGCAGCCAAAGTCAATCGAAGATCCTCCGCCCCTAAGATAAGAACAATAACACAACTAACAATGATAATAAGAATACGGAGAACAGCACGATTTAGAGCAATAACAAGGACAACTTTAAGAATAGCCAGAAACACCTGCAATATACTACCAGTATATATGCAAATATCTACATATAAATAATGAGGAATAGGTCACATTAGGGCTCTACTGCCTGAAGATTTCCTGCTCAAGGCTCTCTACATAGGGCCCCAGCCAATGAGGCCGAACTTCGTCAGGAAGCGCCTTACCCTGCAGGGCTCACGGCAAGTTGGGTTCTTCAAGGTCGCTCAGGCAAGGGGTATAGGGTCTAGGTCAGGAGGACCCCCCACCCTGTAATAGTGGTATAATAGGGAAAAAAGAGGACCCTAATGTAATCCTTACTATCCACCTAAGGTCTAGTGCTCGTTCCTCAAAACTTCTGGCACCCAAAAAGGACACCAAAAAGGGCTCAGGAGCCCGAGTAAAGAAGACCTGCAAACTCCCATTCCAAGACATGGTAGTTTATCTGAAATTGGACCCCGTTACAAACCCCAATATACCATAATCCTTATCGTGGGATCCCCAAAACTTAAAAGGTACCCTGATTTTTGGGAAACCACCACATGTCGCCCTGCCCGCCTGAAGGGTGCATCCTCCATGGTTCCATGCAGCGCCCAAAGAAATCCCACCTTGACTTGAAAGAGGAATATAGGGATATCAGGGCCTAGGGATTTTGAAGGTAGGGAGGTTTCCCCTGACAAATGGAGTTGTATAAGGTTTACTGTTGCCCCAACAATGGAGAATCAGCTGGAGGAGAAAATGGACAATGACGTGAAAACTTAAATTCTATCAGGGTTTCCGGATCTTACGGGTCCCCTTTTCTGGCGTCATCTGGCGTCCCTAGAAGAAGGATGACAGTATATTGGGGGTTTATTCTGGACCCCCTTTTTCTGGAATCCCCCAAGGACCTTCAAGTCAGGGAATGCTCGCTAGATCAGGGAGACATTGTTGGTGAGATTCTTGGCATTGCATGAGCACCAGTGCTTAGAAGCACAAGCAGCAGTGCAATGCTGAGACCTTGCTCTTGAGCGGATTCACCCGCCAGAAGAGCCTCTTGGACAGTACTTTATGGTTGGCCGGTCCAACAAACAAAGGGTCCTCTTTTGGGAGCATCTTACTCTCTATTGCGATCGCTCTGTCATACTTTGCTTCAGAATGATTCTGTGCCCTGTTACACCCGGGCTCCTGGCAAAGAGCATCAAGCGCAAAGCCTCGCAAAGCCCACGCAGAGTCCCGGCAGTCAAGAAGCATTCATGGTCGCTTTCAGATATACATGGCCAAGAGCGGTACTTGGACTACATACTCTGTCTGACCCCAAATAGGACCATGTCTGTCTTAGAACCAGTGGAAGTAGCCAAGAAGAATGATTGCACTCGGCAGCGGACCAGCAAGATCTTCCCAGCAAAGCTCTCGTAGTCGTGAAACTTGTCGGCATCATCCTCTTGGAAAAAGCTGGCTCGCAAGGCGCCGAAGTAGAACATGGAAAAGGAATCTTGGGGAACTTCCCGGCTCTATTATGGGTTTAGGGTTCAGGGTTCTTAACCCCCATGACCCCTATCAACGTAATCTCTATGGCCCTATGATTCGCCAGGAATCAAGGTAACCCTGGAAGATCATCAACCCTCTTGTAAGGCGCCTCACCCTTGATGAGGAGCACGAGTATGGCGTGAACCACAGCAGCCACGCCGAAGATGAGCAGCACCTGGCCCAAACATGTTTGAGGTGAGAGAATGGAGAATCAAATAGACATGAGATCAGAATAGAAATAGGATTATATACAGGGATTATATGGGGCTGCTGGCTTATTACCCCAAATAACGGAGAATCTGATGGAAAAATGAAGTGGAAGCTGGGTTATGTAGGGATCATAGAGGGAAAATAGGTGTTTATGTTCTGGTGTCTGCGGAATTGCAAGGTTAGTGTCCTTTATTGCTTCACCCTACATGTTAGGGCCGTAGAAGTACCATCAAACACACCCAAATAAAGGGCCATAATTTTGACCACCCTAAACCCTAAACCCTAAACCCCCACTGAAAGAAGCCGAAGACACTGGTGCTCCTACGAAGCCGGACAGGGCGTGCAAGGAAAGACATTCCTACCGTTTTAGGGTTTAGGGTTTAGGGTTTAGGGTTTAGGGTGGGGATACAGTCCCCCTTAAGCAGATAGAACATGGCTTTGGGTATACTATAATAAGATCCCCAGATACCCCATGTTCATTTACTTAAGGGGGACTTTACTAGTATCTTTTCGAAAGCACTGAGTGCAAGCTGCTCAGGTCTGCCATCTGATCCTCATCTTTGTCTGTATGGGCTTGCGCAAAAAACACAATCCCTAGAATTAGTGGCTTATTGCCCCAAACCCTACAGCCTAAATCCTAAACCCATTAGTTGCTCAGGTGATTTTCCTTTTGATTCTCCATTGTGAAGGGTAATCATCCTACCCTCCGCAGAGGCCAATTCGATCCTGCCCAAAGCCATGTAGGGGTTTCCCAAAGCTAGGGGCACTTTTTGGGGGTCCCAATACTAAGGACTATAGTATTTTGGGTTCTACATAGGGGTCCCCTTATTTAAATTCATTTAGGGCAACTACCATTTACAGTACGACCCTAAACCCTCAACCCTAAACCCTGAACCCTAAACCCTAAAACCCTAAACCCAAGCTTCCGGGCCTTCTCGGGAGCAATGTCCACCGGCAGCAAAGTGTACCCATACCTCATTCGAGTTGTTTTTTTTTGGTGGTTGAACCAGGGTTTAGGGTTTGGGGTTTAGGGTTTAGGGGTTTAGGGTTTAGGGTTTGGGGTTTAGGGTTGAACCTAGTAAGATAATATTCCTTATATAAAATACTCTACCCCAAAGGAGGATATAATCTTACTCTATATTGGGTACCATAGTACCCCCAAATAAAATACTACTCATTCCAGACTGCAGGCATGCGAAAGGCGAAGGCACATGAATCCTGACACCTCCATGCTCGGCTCCTAGTCAAGTGTATCCAGCTTCTGTTCCATTATCCCTATATAATCCCCAGTCATTAGGGTTCTATTGCGATACATAATGGAAATGGAAAATGAGGTGGATACTACTATTTAGGCTTTAGGGTCTATGGCTACAGCTGTAAATATTTCTAACTCCATGGGCTTCTACCAGTGAACCTCCATCAATATCTTCCGGATGGCCACTGGAAGCCAGGGGCCCAGGCCCAATGAGGAGCAGAAGAGTGGACATCACCAGCTGCGACCAAATGAACCTGAAGAAATCATACAGAGATCACAGGAAGACATACTTCATATGGGTGGTTGTCAAAATTATGGTCCCTTTTTGCATCTCTACTATAATAAGGCACCTAATATTTAGGGTACCCAAAAGAAAACATAATTTTGACAACCACCCATATCAGTCACCCGCCCAACTTATGAATGTTGCATCCGGGGAATACTGGTTATGGCTATGTTATGGCTTGATTCTACTCAGAGCCGTGGCTTCAGAAAGCCTGCATAGAGTTGGGAGTTTACCAAACTTTGGGGGATTTTCTTGGGGGTCCTAGAGTAACAAAGGACTCTATGATGTGTTGGGGGTGAACCACCAGCTGTCTACCACGCCAGCTTTTGCGAGCGGGCTCTTGCCCACTACAGACTAGCCCAGTGGCAAGCAAGGCTATCTGATGGTTGGGGCATTTTCCATGCTACTTAATCCAACAAGACAGTAAGAATATTGAGACCCCTTACTTCTGCTACACCTGCAGCTTTCTTGACTCACTCTGACTTTCGGTGCGAAACCTTAACGCCTAAAAACTCGGTCTCAGGGACCCTAAACCCGCAACCCTAAACTCTAAACCTTAAACTCTAAACCCTAAATCCTAGACCCAATCTCAGGAGGCCACAGAAGCTCTGCTAGGATCTCCAGCAGCTTCAGCCCACGGCCGTCGAAGCTATACCTGGCGCAGTCCACACGCACAACCCGCGCTGAAAGAACCAGGGAACGCCAGCCTCAGAAGGTGGAGAGCGTGTAGAAACCTGCAGCAATGATAATTGAATAGTAGTAACCCTTAAACCCTAAACCCGAATCGCAAATCCCTACAAACCCTTAAACCCTAAAGACCGAAGAAGCAGAGGCAGGGACTGCGCTGCGAGCTCCAAGCTAACCACTGCCACCAACCCCCAGATAACCTGCACGAGGGTTTCAGGGTTTAGGGCTTAAGGGGCTTGGGATTTAGCGTTTAGGGTTTCAGGTTTTAGGGGTTTCAAGGTTTAGGGCTTAGGGTTTAGGATTTAGATTTTAGGATCTAGGATTTAGGCTTTCAGTGGTTTAGGGTTTAGGGCACGAGCTGCAGCAGCAGTAGCAGTAAGGAACGGTAGCCGCAGCATCAGAATAACAAACAGAACTACGGTGAGGAAGATATTCGAGCGACAGCGGCCGCCGCGAGGGGAATAGACCAAAAACCTAAGCCCTGAACCCTTCTTGAACCTTAAAACCTCAAATCCGAAATCCTTTAAACTTACACCCTATATCCTAAGCCCTCAACCTTAAACCCTAAACCCTATACTATAGTAGTTTCCATGTTCTTCTCCATTATCCCTATATAACCCCAGTACCCCGAGGCCGCCACGGGGTGGAGCTTTCCCACCGACTGCGTTTCAGCCAGACACCTGCTAGGGCCCAGGACGTCAAAGGGGGCGGAGGTTCCAGAAATGAGGGTTTAGGGCTTAGTTAGGGCTTCGGGTTTTGGAGTTTAGGGTTTAGGGCTTGGGGTTGAGGGTTTAGGGCTTAGGGTTTCAGGGCCTGGGGTGACGTCTCCCTTTTTTGGTATTCTTGGGCTTGTATTAGTTTTGGTGTTTACATTGGGGCATTTTGGGGCCCCTAGTTATGGAGCCCCCCATAAAGATTGTAATTCCGGTGTGCAGCCATGCAAAACATGACCGTTCTGCATCTGTTGCGTTTTGACGCTACGGCTTTGCCTGATGAATCTATTGCCATCACTTTGACGCTTTGCTTGCAACCCTCGTCAAGAGCAGGACCTGTGTTCACTTTCTGTGAAGAATTTCGACTAGTAGCCCTGCCTCATGGGCTTTCCCTTCCGAACTTTCAAGCAAGAAGGTTGCAGAAAAGGTACAGCACAGAACTGTTGGCCATTCATTCATTTTTGAACTATGCTGCGATTATCCCACCCCGCCTTCGCGCAAAGAGGCCGCAGAAGATGGTGAAGCAGACCAATCCCAGCACGTTCGCCGGGAGCGTCCAACGTTTGTCAACACTGAAGTGAGAGTCGCCCTTTGCAGGGCCCGCAAGTCTTCGCCCACAAACACTTCTACAACCCCTACCAGTAACAGCAGTAGTCAGTAGCGTAGCAACAGGATGGTGGAATGAAAAACCCGCGACCCGCTTGCTCCACTTGCTCCTCCCACTTGCTGAGGAGGGATGGTCATCCGAACTGTGTTAAACCTAACCGCTAAATCCTAAACCCTCAACCGTAAGAGTGGTGGAGTGATGCCATGACCCTGGTGGTGACAATGTAACAGTAATTTCAGCCTCAGCAGCAGCGACGAGAAAACCAGTAACAACAACGACACTAAGTGCAATCATGTTCGTAGGATATTCAATGAACCAGCACATGATACGTCTACTTCTCGCAGCTCCCGCTGGTGACAACAATATCAAGAGGACGAACATCAACATCAAGAAACAGCACTGCAGTACCCATCATCATGATAGTCAAAAGGGTGATATTTGTTTCAGCAATGCTACAAACTTCAGTGCAGGCAGTAGCCACGGTGTCTATGAAGCAACTTGGTGTGGAATTAAATGAAACTGCTGAAAATCCACGTCTGACGATTCCTTGGTACTTGTAACATCGGCAATAACCTATATCTACATGATGTGCCTCATTCAGGTGCTGGATCTCGTATTCAAATCTCACACCTGAGAGCCGACGCAAGCCCGCACAAGCGAATGTCATCCAGTTTGGGTTCAAGCGGTTGAGGGCACAAGCAGGGACATGCCTGCAAAAAAAGGGATCGCAATCTTGGGATGCATCTTTCGCACTTTGCGTTCGCGTCCCACCATGCTCGGGTTGCGCACGAGGATGAACTCCAGGAACAGGACACAAAGTGCTCCCTAACCCAAGGAGGATTCTTAGGAGCATTCAATTTGCAACCAGCACTCGTGATGCCGAGTCATGTGAGCCCTGGACTACATGTGTAGTATATCCCTTAGACGTCCCCCTACACCCCGCTATATTTCGTTTGGTCCCCCCAACCTAACTTTAGTCCGTAACTCATGTATCTTCAGATACCACGAAAAAAACCTTGGTCGGCCGAGCTCCGGACGCTGGTCCTTCAACTTCTCCCCGCAGTGGAGCAGCACGTAGTACCAAACGTGGGACCTCACGGTGTATAGCTGGTGTAAACTTGAATACTACTTCCTTACGATCATAGGCTTCAAGGTTGTACTCCGGGGCCCCTGGGTTGTGGATCCCAGATGTGGAAGGCGCCGAATCATGGCCGATTTGGCAACCTCAGGGCAGACCCTTAGACCCTAACCCAAAACCCAAAACCCTAAACCGCGTAGAATCTTATTCTCCACCGCCCTGCTGGCCTCACTGTGTTCCGCACTTGCCCATTCCATGGCTCGCTCCACCTTGCTGTATAGGGCTTAGGGTTAAGGGTTTAGGGTTTTAGGGTTGAGGGTTTTAGGGTTTAGAGTTTTAGGGTTTAGGGTGTAAGGGTTTAGGGGTTAGGGGGTTTAGGGTTTAAGGGTTTAGGGGGTCTAGGGTTTACGGTTTAGAGCTTAAGGACACCCGCTCGAAAGCAAGACGTTAAACTTTCACAGCTCTGCATCCCCAACTTGAAGAAGCCATGTCATTTGTGTGGTGCCTGCCTTAAGAACATTTTTGTTCTTCTTGAGAAAGGCTCCTACTATTTTCTCGTTCACCATAAACGCAGGACCGTAATGGTGGGAAACCTTAAGCCCCTATAAAGCACGTTAGTATCCGAGCTTCCATGCCGTTGTCCATGTTCTTCTCTATTTGGCTTCGGGATGATAGCCCTACATTCTCGTACATAATCCCTATATAACCCCTGCATGAACCCTATGTAACCCATATATAACCCCTATATAACCCCTATGAAATCCCTACATCATCCCTATACAGTCGCTACATTGTCCCTGTATAATCCCTGTTTCAATCCGCCTACAACCCTATTTCCTTACTTCTGAACTCAACGGCCTAAACCCTAAACCCCTAAACCCTTAACCCCTAAACCCCTCAACCCCTGAACCCTCAACCCCGAGGTTCTAGACCATACTGGGGTGCTGTTAAGGAACTTAAATTAAGTTACCATAATGGGTATATATGCTAAACAATAGGGTTTCCCCAATATAGTAACTTAATTGAAGTCCCTTAAATCCCTATATTCCCCCAGTTTCCATTTTCTTTTCCATTTGATTCTCCATTATAGGGGGATAATCCCCTAATTTGAGTAACCCAGTAGTTCATCGCCAAAGTCGAGGATTTTCCTTTTGCCTGCTCGCATCCTT